TATATATATATATATATATATATATATAAAATATATTCCACTAAAATGAAAGCAAAAACAAGTGGAGCCAAATTGCCTTCGTTCAACGTTGATGTCGGACAGAATTTTGTTTCCCTTATGACGTCATTTCAACATGGCGGCTTAATTCTATTTCATAAATATTTAAAATGTTTATTTTCTTAAATGTATTAATAGTTATAAATGTAATTCCACGTGTTCGATTTAGAGAATACCATATCATAACCGTAAACAGTAGGGGAGAACAAAAAGTTTGTTCAACCTGGATAATTATGGCATTTTGTAGGCTACTTAACGTAGTAATTTGCCCCTGTTTGATTGTACATATATTAAATAAAGTTGGTGAAAAAGTGCGTGACACATGAGAGCACTGGCTATTACCAACACTATGTCTGCACCATAATACCATATATAATAATCCGATCAACCTTATTCGCCTATAGACCTGTAATGAAACATTCAACAGAGGAACGTGATGCCTATATATATGCCATATCAGCTTCAAGTGACGTAACACAATTACGTTCCGGAAGTGTGGAATACATGATTGTGTTTCCTACTGGGCTTGCGCATTTCAAAAGATCGTCGCGGGCCTATGACGTACATATCTAAGGGGTTCAGCTATGCCACGTCGGTTACACTGTGGAAGCGACAAGCTTGCTCTTTTAGCACATTCGGTTTACACGTTTTTTCTATCCTTTACCTGATTAATAGATTCAGAGAGAGGATACGCCATTCTCATCTTATCAACGCAAGTGCCAAAAAGCACACGTATCTTATGTGCAATCATTTCGCGAAATACAAATCAAGCTCCGAGCGCGTACCTAAACTGATGTTTCTTTCAGGTTGGACGATTCGGGCGGGCCTCGACCCCACGACCGACTGATGTCTCCGCGTCTACACCAGCCGCTCTCCGTTCATGTGTAAGTGATAGCTTCGCCTTAATTAATACTTCGAACTGCAGTGTGATTTTGATTTTCATAATCGTTCTTCTTTTTGTGTAAATTTTATAGTAATAGATGACAAGTAGTTGAAGTTATGTTTTGTGGCATTTCTTTCGATTGAGCAGCCCTATTTCAATGTAGTTTAGTCCAAATTCACTTAGAACGAAAAACTGTTCTTGACAGTATAAGGTTAGGAGCAGAACATATGGATACCCTTGGGTAAGACTGCTTTGACTCGTAGATGTCAGAACTTATTGGCAATCGTGTGTATCTTTTAATAAATATATCTAGACATATTAATGAACAATTCTTCTGAGGAATTGCTACACTGGCCAGTCTGTAATTGTGTAAGGGTGTGTGTGCGGAAGAGATACAGGTATGGAAACATGTCTATCCTATACTAATGGCACATAAATTGAGCACTTGGTATAAGTGAAGTGTATATTTGTTTACTGCCACTTTTTCTGTTGTATCATGGTGCTTGAGGCCTGTTGTTGGTTTTCTGCCAGTACTGTGTCATGGTCTTGGTAAGGTGTGATTATAGTGTTGTGCAGTAAGATTTTTGTTTGTGATGTTACGGAGTGGCTGTAATGCTGCTGTTATGTTGCAGTGCAGCAGCAGCCCTGAGGTTGCCACGGGGAGCAGCTGGGGTCACTGGACATGCCCGGCGGTCGCAGGGGTCCGAGTAGACAGCAGCTGAGCCGCTCGGCCCTGCCCTCACCACAGACTCTGGTGGGGAGCAGCTGCAGCAACGGTGCGGGGCTCAGGAACAGGTGAGCCCCAACCACCACTACCACATCCTTGTATAGGGAGGGCACTGTCTGTAGATCCCTATATCCTCCTGAGACCCAGCACTTCATTTTGTCCATTATGTTTATGTTCATATCTCTTAAATTGTACATGCTAGCCTTTTAAGTCCTGTCCTTAAAGTGGAAAGGTAGATGACATCACATGTATGGGGGTGTGACCTTGCCAGTTTTCTTTTCCGGTCAAATTAAAATTTTAATCAATATAAAAGTTTTTTCTCAGGATCTCAATAGGTTATAGCAAGTGGTTCCAGGTTTTGTCAGACCTGCTTTTCCATGGTGATTCCCTGAGTGAATTCCAATGTCTGTGTTGCCCCTGCAGGAGCAGCACATCTGTGGGTCTCTCTGCTCCACCACTCACTGCGCTGATCAGCCCAGAACCCGTTCGCCATGCACGCATTCCTGAACTTCCCATCGACAGCAGTGTGCTCTTTGAGTTTATGCTCTTTTTGTACCTGCTGGTGGTGCTGTTTGTGCAGTACATTAATATCTACAAAACTGTCTGGTGGTATCCTTATAGCCATTCTGGTGCCTCTACCTCACTGGTGAGAGTGCTCTCTCTCTCTCTCTCTATATCATCCTCTGTCACACACAAACAGATTTTGCTGTCTGTGCTCTCTTGTCCTCACTGGTGAGGGCGTGCACTCTAGTTGTCTGTCTAGATGTTTCCAGAACACATACACATGAAACGCATAAATAGATATTTTGCTTTCATAATTCTCTTCTTTTCTGTCTGCAGAACTTTCATCTAATAGACTACCACCTGGTGATCTTCATTACTGTTATGCTGGCCAGGAGGCTTGTGTGGACTATTATTTCAGAGGTACAGTGACTGACTTGCAATTTCTACCCAGATTTCCTCCTATTCCTTTTACCCTTTCCAACCCAGTCTAACTGTCCCCCTCTTTTATAGCCTGTTATTCTGCATCTGTCTTGAGTTTTTAAATGTTTCTATTTCTAGTGTAGCGGAAGCTAAAACCCTGGGTTCCTTTAAATCAGAGCTAGATAAGATTTTAACAACTCTGAGCTATTAGTTAAGTTCTCCCCAAGCGAGCTCGATGGGCCGAATGGCCTCCTCTCGTTTAGAACATAGTATAGTTCTTATGTTCTTATGTATCTGTCGCTGCTTTATGGTATCTTGGGTGATATCTCTGTAACACTGCTCCCCAGGTTCGGCGTGTACGTGCCGCTGTGCTGTTTCCACCAGGAGGCTCGTGCTCAGGCCCCAGCAGCTGATTGTGGATGCCTGGAACAGGATCCAGATGGGCAAACTCTTCGTCCCAGGGACTTCCTGGCCCTGCTGCGGGAGAACCTGCGGGAGCAGCTGTCTAGCTCTGCCCCTGTCCCCACCCATACCTGTCTGCTGTCACCTGAGCTCATCCGGACTGAGGTGGAAGGGCTGAAGGCTGACTTCAACCGCCGCATCAAGGAAGTGCTTTTTAACTCATTGTTCAGCGCCTACTACGTGGCCTTCTTGCCTCTCTGCTTTGTTCAGGTAAGTTCGAGGCTGTGCTGATCATGGTTGTTTTGACGAAGGTGGCAACAGCCATAGTAATAATGGTAGTGCTGTCTTCTAGAGCACGCAGTATTACGACATGCGCTGGTCATGTGAGCATCTCATCATGGTATGGACCAACGCATTTGTGATGCTCATGAGTCAGCTGCTGCCTCCCCAGTACTGCGACCTGCTGCACCGCTCAGCCGCTCACCTGGGCAAGTGGCAGAGGCTGGAGCATGGTTCTTATGGCAATGCCCCACAGCATCTGTGAGTATATTCCGAACACCAAGACATGCTCTTTCAGCTTGCTCATAGTCCAACCAGATGTACCTTTGTAATCTGTGTCTTTACTGTGAAGATTACCTTGGAGAGCATCTTATTTATTGTGTCCTGTGTGTAGTAGGTCCCTATATTGTTTGCTGCTTTTATTCAACAGTTATTTACAAGATTTGGTGCCATACACAGAGCCTGGCCTCCACCAACATCAGCCAACTTCTGAGACTTTCATTAATGGTGCAATAATATTGTGTTGCTCATGCATTTCACTGAAACAAAATTCAGCAGCTCCTCCTGCACAAACATTGTGGTGGCTGGAGATTTGATGCAGCAGAGCTTTATGGACAGATCAGGACAGGAACATTATTGCCTAAGCTGATGAGATGGCATGGTCCACTGTTATTGCTCAGTATCTCCCAGACAATTTTCAGAATGTTTCATGAATCCCTGTGCTTCAGGAGGCCTTTGACTCACCAGCCTCTTCTTTTGATCCTTCCTAGAATAAGAATCCAGACTGTTAGGCTTGTTCTCTCACAGTGATTTTATTTGGTATTATTTAAATGATGAGGGAGACTTAACATAACAAGTTTTCACTTATATTGTACAAATAAGACTGGTAACCTTCATGGTGATGTATGACTGGGTGTGTCTGTCTGTCTCTGCTCTCGCAGTTGGTCGGACAGTACCATCTGGCCCCAGGGGGTGCTGGTGAGACACAGCCGCTGCCTCTACAAGGCTGTCGGACCATACAATGTGGCACTGCCCTCTGATGTCTCCCATGCCCGCTTTTATGTGAGTCTTTATATGTATGAGGATTCTGAAGCCATTTTCCTAATTTTATGGGGATATTTTTGGGTTAAATGATTCCACTAGGTGTAGTAAATCTTGAAGATATCTGGTGATCACAGACAAAAGTGCCACATCTTTATCAATTGTCATTGCATTAAGCAGAGAGATTGTGACATCTTTATAATATGTAGATAAATATGTGTAGTATGTCCTATGAAGTCACTTAAAAAGTAGTTATTCAGTAATGTGCATTCATAATCATAGGAAAGAACAGGAAGGTTTTGTCTGAAGCTTTTGCCTTGACATTTTCCTTCTCTCCTTCTCTTTCTCATAGTTTTTGTTCCACAAGCCACTGCGCATCTTGAACCTGCTGATTGGGATTGAGTGCAGTGTGGTTCTATACCAGCTATACTCACTGTTGCGGTCTGACCGCTGGAACCACACCCTGTCTCTGGGGCTTGTCCTATTCTGCAGTTATTATGTGTTGTTCAAGCTGCTGAGAGATCGCATCGTGCTGGGCAAGGCATACTCCTATCCCCTGAGCAGCAGCAGCCTGGGCCTCAAGTCCCAGTGAGGCAGAGCAAGTGTGGAGCCTCCCCCCTAGGACTCAGAACTGGTGACCGTCAGTAAACTCAGAATGTTATTTTGATACGGTTATATTTTTCATGCAATGTTTGTTTTATATATGTATATACAAACAAACAATTATATTTAAAAAAAAAAAACAAAAACAAACCAAATAGATCTTTTATATTTTGTATAAAGTTCCACTTCTTGACAAGAGGAAGGCTTAAAGCTGCCATGTAATGTTATTCTTGATGTGTGTACATGAGAGTGGTGGTGGACCGGCTGCTCTAGTATAGACCTTTCCTGGGTGCTGAAAGTGCTAGCAATGTCACACTAAAACAGCCTATCACAGGGAAAATGCTGCATGAGACAGCCTGGAGAGGAAGTTTGGGCTTCCTCACTGTTTTGCATAGATGTCTTCATTTTATATTCTTCAGTCATGGCGGGATCCTTGCCATCAGCATCTGTGTTCAGAACCTGAACAATAGTAAAGTCATGCTGCTCTGTTTTATTTCCCCATTGCCAAAATCCCAGAATTCAGCCTGACAAGCTACAGAGAGAGAGATGTTTTGAGGGAAGATATAGCTGTATTCCTCCGCCGTGACTCAACACGCAGTATCTCAGATAGGTTTTACACACCGGCAATGTGACAGAATAAAGACACCTAAAATTAAGTCCCCTAGTCATGGCCACGTGAAATATAATCAAGTGTGTGTGTGTACTTCCGTCTACAAACATTTAGGAGAGCCACACCAAAGTTGAATTATCATTCATTTGAATATTCATTCAAATCTTGCATTCAGATTTTGAGTTATAACTCATAGCTGCCACAAAATCATTGTACTTGTTTCATTTCTCATTTCAAAGCACAGATGTCATATTTAAATTTAGGTATGTTAATTTTAATAAAAGTACAATTCAGCACCAAAAACTTCAGGATCATACATATAAGTAATTGTTTGTTGTTGTCGTCTTAATTTAGGTTCTCCAGTATAACAATATGAAGCCTTTTTACTGGTTTTTTATGAAAACACTGGTATCCTCAAATATTAACTATCCTTTGGAAGGCCCATTTGATCCAAAGGGCACTTGGTCTTTATTGGTTTTTCACTAGTAGCTGTAACAGGGTGGTAGAGAGAGCATCTTCCATGGATGGACTCCACTGGGTGTTTGTGCTTTTTGTCCCATCTGAGCTGTAGTCTTTGGCTGTAGCTTTCACATGATAGTGTGAATAATAATAATAATAATAAATTTAATTTATAATGCACTTTACATTTTACATAGAAGATCTCAAAGTGCATACAGACAGTGAGAGAATGTCACATTAAAAACAACAATAAAAGAGGAATAAAACAGTTAGTTAAGCAGTCATTAAAAACATTGGTTAA